TTTCATTCTCACCTATCTGTCGTTGCATTTTTCGAGCAGCGACACCTCCTTATTGAACCTTTCAATGTAGGCTCCTATGGGTTCGTTCCTGCCTTGAATGATGTCCTCGAGGGAGACTTTGGTCTTCAGATGTTGGCGAGAAGCCTTGAAATGTCTGGAGAAGAGTCTTCCTAGTTGCCTCCACGAGTTGAAGGAGTCATCAGGGATTCCTTTGTACCAGGTCATTGCCCATTTCCTGAGTGTGGTCGGGAATAACCTGCACTGGATGGCGCCCCGGACGTCGTGATAGTCGAGCAGCGCATTGATGTTTTTGATGTGCTCGTCAAGGTCGATTGTTACGTCGTATGTGCCTAGAGAAAAGGGTTTTTCTAGTCCTTTCGAGAGGCGCATGGCTATGATTTCCTGGGACAACGGGCCGCGAGGCTCGTCGCCGCTGCTGCTGCTGGTCCAAGAGGGGGAGTGGGCGTGACGTCTATAGGTGGGACAATGGCCTTGTCCCGAAGACATGGTTTGTGCTTGGCCCTTGGATCGGGGTGGCGAACATGGAGATTCTACTTGGTGTCCTCTTCGGATATTCTTGGGTTGCATGGACTGTTGGTTTTGGGGAGAAATCTGGTTGCGTTTGCAGACGGTCATGATCTCGAGTTCCGGAGGCATTTGACGGTTCCTCTCGCGTCGGGGAGGGGGACTCTGTCACTGCCGACGTTCTTTCCTCGGTGGAGAGGATCTTGGACGACGAGATTCTTCCAATGCTTCAATCCTCGCGCTCTGGTTGAGGATTAGGAGGTTGGTTTTGTTGAGAACCTCGGTTAGGGCCGCCATGGCTGGGTCGACGTTAGGTGGGGCCGCCATGGCAGATAACGGCAAATCCCCACTTGTCCCATGTTCGTGCAGATCACGACGATTTCCTGGGACAAGTGGGGATTCGTCGTGACCTGCACGAACATGGGATGGAGAAGTTGTGGCTTCGTCCCTTCGTCGAAGGACATCGCCGCCATGAGAGGTGGAGGCCCCTTCAGCATCAGTCTTATTGACGGGGAGGAAAGCAGAGTTATGAGCATTAATATTGTTGTCACGGGCAGCCATGATTAGAAAAATTGAAGAATTGTTTTGGTCTTGTGCTCTTATGAAGAGAGAAGAGATGAGGATAACAAGTTTCCCACAAACGGCGCTACTGATCTTACCGAACGATCAGAATCTGAGTGGGCCAATGACAAACGTCTGTGATACTGGGTGTGAAAGAGAAGGAGGGGGTGCACCTGCAAGGTACTTCGATGCTAAAGTAAGTAAACGATCAAGAGAGCGAGCAAGTACAAAATATGTGTGTTTCAAGGTGAGAAATTGGATACCTGACCCTCTCAAATGAGGGGTTTTTATAATGCCTCCAGCGCTTGGCCATTGGTCCCTATTTTTGAGGCAAGATACCCTTTCTCGAAGAATAGGTATCTTCCAGAAATAGTCGTTGGGACGGGAAGACATGCCCATAACTAGCCATTGGCACGGGCAGGGATGTAGTTATAGGCACAAGCGTCTTGGCTGTTTCTGGATGGTGGAACCGTGCGTGACTGGTAGAGCCTGACGGGGAGAAGTACCTCAGGCCAAGGGCAGATTGGTCATCCTTCCCTGTATAAGGGGCAAAAAGGTAAACTCTCTGCTAAAGAGGTTGGACTTAGGCAATTGGGCCATTCTGGGAGCAGAAGTGGATTGGGCCATGCCTAGCCATCGGTCCAGTTCAGAACAATTACGTTGCCATTATCCTTACCTTCATTATCTTTCAGGCGTTCAAGGCACACTTTTCTTGTATGACCCTCCTTCTTACAGTGATAACAACGAATATCAGATGTATCACCACTATAAGACTTCTGTTGACTTTTACCCTTCTTCTTGTCAAACTTGCCATCTCTCTTTGTGAATTTTACCTTAACCGACATGCCTTCACCAATCGAAGATGGCTTGTGCTCCTTTCGTTCGTTCAAATCCTTAGAATACAAGGTTGATTTAACTTCTTCAAAGGTCAGAGACTCTCTTCCATACAAGAGAGTTTCTTTGAAGTGAGCATGTGATATGGGCAAAACACACAACAACAACAACGTTTGATCTTCATCCTTGATCGTGACATCGATATTTTCAAGATAAATAATCAACTTGTTGAATATATCCAATTGCTCAGCCAAAACTTTGTCTTCGCCTATCTTAAATGAATACAGAGCTTGCTTCAGGTAGAGGCGGTTGATCACCGATTTGGTTGCGCACAAACTTTCAATTTTCACCCATAACCCTGACATCGTCGTCTCCTTCGAAACCTGTCGAAGAACCTTATCACCAAGGCTCAATAAGATGGTGTTGTGGGCTTTCTCTACCATATTCATTTTTCTTTGTTTGTTAACGCAACGTCCATAGTTGTGGCTCCCTTCAACGCTTCTAAACAACCTTGCTGAACCAGTGGGGCTTTCATCTTCAAGCGCCACAGACCGAAATCGTTCACTTTGGTAAACTTTTTCAATCTCATACTTTGTTGACAACATCTTCTCCACGTTCACTACACCAATTTTTTGTGAACGATGCTGAAATAACAAAGTATAATCGGTTTATTAATCGGCAAAAAACTCACAAGGGTAGAAAAAGAGGGAAGCAAGAAGAAAACAATGAAATTGGTTATAAAATATTATTCTTTACTTTTTCTTTGAAACAAGATTACAAGTGTTACAGAATAGCAAATAACTTCTCTCACACTAATTAGGATTTGCATCATATAAAAAAATAAGAGACTAGCATGCTATTTATAAGAAAACTAACATACTAACCTAATGGACTTTTACACACATGCCCATTGCACTAGTTAACTTATACAATTGAGCATAGCAAACATACTCAATTCAACATGCTAACACTCTTATCATACTTCGACTACAGCATGCGAACAGACTTCAACGACATGAATATCATAATCCCCTAAAAGAGCAACAAAACTACAAATAAATACTTACCTCATAATTAAAACACTTGATCTGTTATTAGTTAAGACAAATGATAAGGTTATAAAGTCACATAGAGAAAATACATGAATTCATCCCTACCTAAAAACCATTTTCCAACAAAAATAAAACTCCTCTCCCCCACATCTTTGACAGTTTTTTAAACACATTTAAGGATTATATTATTACGTGCTCTTGAAATGGTCTAGATTGCAAACGTGTCTTAGCATAACAAAACTACCCTTAAATTTAGCCCTACCACATAAAAGAGAAAAAAAAAAAAAAAACAAATATAATCTCTAGGAAGAATTGCATGTCAACCCGACAACTTGAAAATCTTATACCATACAAATAAAAATAAAACTAACTCATGATAAAAAGATTGGAGATCGACTCAACCAAATCCTCGTAAAGTGAGGTTGGAGGTTTCTAATAAAAAAAAGCTAGGCATGTCAAATAGAGAATTCTTAAAAGTCATTCTAAGAGTTTAGATATCTTTCATTAATTTAAAGATATGAAAACCTTTCTACACATGATGGAGTTAAGTGACTCGTGTATTTATGAAGTTGTTGAAGTTCAATAATCCAACACTTATCAAACAAAATGGATGTGTACAGTGGAGGTAGGGCCAAAATCCCCCAGGAGCCCCGCTTGGATATGTCCCTATGTGAATAATATATATATATATATATATATATATATATATATATATATATATATATATATATATATATATATATATATATACATATATATATATATATATATATATATATATATATATATATATATATATATATATATATATATATATATATATATATATATATATATATATATATATATATATATATATATATATATATATATATATATATATATATATATATATATATATATATATATATATATATATATATATATATATATATATATATATATATATATATATATGTTCATACAATTTGCATGTGTGCTTGGTGGAGCCTAAAAAATTACTCTATTAAAATTCAGGGAAGATAATTGATACCTTATTAGACCCCGTTGATTTATACTTAATAAATGTGAACATTAAAAAAAGTATGTAGAATCAGTATATAATAGATGCAAGGTTCATGTGATCTTATTTTAAGGTGAACAAAAAACAATATCAGTAGAATCAATGCATAATAGATTTAGTGTATCTTTTAAATCCAAAATTTAAAAAGAGAAATTTAAGGATTCATAAAAGTAAATTTAAAATCAGTCTCTTGAATGCTAGAATCCAAAGGCAAACAAAGCCACAAGATTCTAAAGAGACTAAAGCAAACACAAAGAAGTGAATAGAAAAACGTCAACAGAGATTTTACCAAAGCATTCACAATATCCACTATATCTATATAATATAATGACAATGATATTAAAGTTAAGTTCTTCCATTATGTTTGGATCAAATGCCATTGTCTTATTTATTGCTTTTTTATATTAGGAACTATCATCATGAAAGTTGTTAGTCAATAAAACCCTGAATTGACTTCTAACCAAACACTGCCTTAAAATGTGGCCTTAAAACCTCCATGTAATGCTTCTTTTCTGTTCTTTGATCATTTATAGAAACAAAATCATAAGCTAAATTAAATACCTGAAATCTAATTTTAGATATTTCAATTATATACATAAAATGATCAATTATCTACTAAGAATTGTTTGCTAATGAAATAAATAAAAAAATCAATAAACCATGTATAACCAAAGATAGAATGTTGATCAGATACAAGCAAAACTAAACTCAATACATTTTGCTTGCAGCAGAGATATAAGATCATTGACCCGAAATCACGACGACGGAGCATTGAATATGCAGTAGGCACACTAAACCTATTGCACACTGTAATTGAATGTGCAGTAGGCAAACTAAACCTATTGCACTCTGTGATTGAATGTGCAGCAAGCAAACTAAACCTATTGCACACTGTGAATAACTATAATTTAAACGGTATATATAAATTTTAAGCTAAACCTATTATATGAGAAAATAATAATCTCTTAAAATTTACAGCAGAGAAGGCTAGTCTTCCAATTGCGTTGCTTCCGGTAGCGGCTCTTGTCAGGTTTCTCCATTCTCACTGGGCTGCTATTCCATTCAGATTGCAGTCTGCAAGCACAAGATCGAAATCAAGTCCCGTTAGAACCTTTTATGTACAAACTATTACATTCAGATAAGTATATTGAATTAAAAGGTTTTCTGGAAGTTTACATGGGAAATGCAAAGGACCGCGTGCTGGTAGTGCTACTGTCGGATCGAATAGAGATGCTTCCAGAATAAGGTATAGACCCTGAGTAACTTATACGACCTGATACTGTGCCTGCGGCAGAAAAACTTGACTCGCCTAAGTCACTTCGAATCTGACTTGTTTCAGCAAGTTGAATTTCAGAAAAATCACCAGACGAACCTTCAATGGTAGTAAGAGGAAGTTGAGTTTCATCACAGTTACAACCACCAAATTGGTGAAGTTCCTTTTTGACACAGACCGCAGGAGCTGAAGGCCCAAATTGATAATCACTTTCCGGTTCATCAACAGTTAATCCTAAAGCGGGACTTGCCAATACTTCTTCCTCAATCATATTACTTGAGTCTTTCAACTGGGAGTGTGAATTATGTTCAACGGAAAGCTGCAGAACAATGCATAAACATCACTGCTATTTCCCAATTCCCATCACATTTATGCATGCACTACAGCACATACAAACAGATGACAAATTTCCAAACGAAGACATGACAATTTAGGCAAACAATATTTTTTCCTTAGTTGAAAGTTTTAAAATATTCGTTATATACAAATAGATATGTTTCTTAAGCATTGAAATCTTCAGCAATTGATTGATTATTTCAAAAAAGCATTGGAGTATGTTTCCAAAGAAAGTACCTGATCATCCTTGCCACCAGTAGGTATAGAATCTTGTGTGTCTTCACGTGACTCCATCGCTTTGGTGAAGTTATCAACAAGTTCTTCAATCTCACTGTCATCTTTGTGAATCACATCATTGTGCTGATCATGATTAGAAGATGCCTCGTCAGAATCATCAGTTTCTGGTTGATTTAACACCTTCATACCAGTGTTATCTTTTGGATTTCGGTTATACTCAAAATTCTCCAATGGGAAGAAATTATAAGCGGCTCCATCAACGCTTTCGTCAAACATGAATTTATGCTTAGTAAAGGCTCCTTTATCAACGCATATATCCTTCACAACATGGTAACTATTCTCTTTGTAACAAACTTCCATTTCTGGTTCACATTCGGGAACAGTTCGGTCCACAAAGACATCTACCGGATTCTGAAATTTATCGACTTGCTGAGGATTGGAGATTGGTGCAGCGACGGACTTTTTAACTGATTCTTTATCATTTGCAAACATCATAAATGATCCAATATCCTTTGAAGAATGAGATACAGGCTCATGTGAGTCCATTACCTGTGCTTCGTAACCCTTTTTCAAATCAACAATGCTGTTGTATGAATCGAAATCCTGTTCGTTCTTCTTCACATTCTTCGAGTCTCTGTTGTCATATTCCTTTGCCTTCTGATTCCGTGATTTGAAGCTAGGTGAGTTTTGATCACTATCATTAAATTCAAACGATTGAGATTCCACCTCGACACCCATTTTAGAATGGCGGAAAGATAGTTCACTTTCTGTACATTCATTTTCCGACAAGTGCAAAATGAATATGTTAGGCTTAAATTTTAAATAATAAACACCGCACATACCATTCAAAACATTCCGAATTTCAGTAAAAATCATAGCAAGAATCTATGTAAAAAAATGGTAACCTAATTCAGAGTAACATTATGAAGGTATTCAAAATCCAATTGCAGGATCATAAACAAACAGTTTGTTACCTAGTTTCATGAAGTACTTATATTCGAATACATGTGTGAATTTTCCAAACTGCAACAACCAACGCTATTTTGCTTACTTTCAATCAAAGAGACTAATCTGATCATAGAATACTCAACGGAAACCTGTGAATCAGCAATCAAGCAAAACTAGATTAGCAAGTAACTAACCATTAATAATCACACTTCATGAAGAAAAAACTCAATAATGGAAATGTTTTAAAATAGTATCAAAAGCCAAGCACTAAAGTTATGATTCTATTTCAATGCTACCAAACGATAACGAATTTTAAAAGAGTAAAAAAGAAGATAAACAAGTATGAAATTAAAAAGAAAGAGAAACAAGCGAATCCATCCACAGTATTGTTCAAATTTTGGATTTTGGTAGACTTTAGCCGCAAAATGCCATTGAAAAGAACCGAATTTGGTGACCCAAATTATAAGATAAACCAAAGGACTAAGAAAGTAGCATATAGAAAGTTTACCATTGGCACTAGAATCAGTAAAAATGGGGACCATATTCTATCTTAAGCTTCTAACATGCAACCAAAATACATCTAACATACCAATCAAGTTCAGTTTGTTTAAGAATATGAATAGCCTATAAGAGCCTATGAAAATAAACAACTTATAAGCAAACAAAAAAGAGAAGTACCAGTAACTTTTTTTTATTAAAAAAGAATTCTCACAGGTAGAATCCAAAGACAGAGAAGAAAGTGTATCAGGACAAGAAAAAAAAGTTTAAAAAATCACCCAACTTTTTGAAGGTTTTCAACTACAAAATTACAAATCAAAAGGCCTACAAAACCCACAAAAAAAAGCCCCTACCAATTATTTGTCTTTTAGCAGAGAATAGATCTGACTGAACAGAATAAACATGTTTACAAGTCCAGAAAAAGTAAAGTGAAAACACCAACTGGGTTGAGTTGGTTTTTTGCAACTTACACCTCAATCCCTATGAAGGAAAATTGGGGAACATGGTCAAGAAAATGAATAGAGATCCCTATCTCAGATCCCAAAGCCTTCACAACATAAAAAATTGATAAAGAAATTTCATATATACTATTCTAAATTTTAATCCCAAAAATGAAAAAGTAAAAAAAAAATTAATTAAAAATTCCCACTATCTCTCACCTTGTGAATTAACCATGTCAGAAACTAGTTGATCATGAAGCATGGAAAACACAGAGAAAAAGAGAGAGAATTACCAAAGTCCAAAGCTAGAGAAGAAGAGAAAGCAGGAGTTTCTGGTCAAGTTGGTAACTGTGTTACATAAATTGAATTAAATGGTTATAAGAATGAAATAAAAGGAATATATAAATGGAATTAAATAAAAAAATTAATACTGAAAATAAAAGCAACCGAAGAGAGAGTATATAGTATATGAGATAATGGATGAGTTGTTGTAATTATATAAGCTTCATTATGGTCAACTGTAACACCCTTTTTTCTCTCTCTAAACCCACCACCTCTTCTTTCTTTCTTCCACCCTCCACCTTCTGTTTTCTGCAATAAATGCGTTACAAAATGAAAATACAAAGCACCAAACAGGCCCCTACCCTACCGTTCAATACCCTTAAAACCAATAGGGTATGTTACAGCATTAAATTGTCACCCTCTAACTCTTACCCTTTGCTTCTTTCTGTAATTAATTTTATACCCAAAATATCCTACTTTGGCCCCCTTTTTCTGTGTCTGTATCTTTCACTTTTCTGTCTCTCCTTCATTTCCCACCACCCTTTTTTCTCTTTTAACCAATTGAACCACTCAAACTTCCTCTTAAGCATTAACACAAACACGTCACCTTCGACTTTAATTTCACAAAATTAAAGTCATTTCATATGTTAATGTCGTGTCAGTGTCACGTTACACGACTCATGTGTTGATTTTGTGTCACTATCTAAGTTAAAAACTTAACTATGTGTTGATGTTTTGTCGGTGTCTAACGTTTGTAAATGTAAGAGACACTGGTGTATAACATTTTAAAACATAAGAGACATGTGGTTGACATGTGTTGATGTTCTGTCAGTGTCTAACGTTAACACGTTACGCGAATTATGTGTTGATTTTGTGCAAGTGTCTAATGTAAAAAACGTAATTATTTGTTGATGTTTTGTCGGTGTGTGACGTTTTAAAACGAAAACGTAAGAGACATCTGGTTCACATGTGTTGATGCACTCTCAATGACTAATAACGTTAAGACGACAACGTAAAAGACATTAAGCTAATTTTCTCTTAAGCACCAATACAGACACGTCACCATCGATTTTAATTTCAAAAAGATAAAGTCATGGTGATGTCTGTGTCTGTGACTAACATTAAGACATAAGAAACAAGCTATTAACATATATATTGATATCGTGTCAGTGTCTAATGTTAAGGCGTAAGATACAAGACATGTTGTTAGTATATATTGATATCATGTGAGTGTTTAATGTTAAAATGTAAGAGACACGCGACTCATGTTGATTTCGTGACCGTGTAAAACATCCACGACACGCATACACATGAGTCACGCGGCTCATGCAAGACACCAAATACATTGTTTATTATTTCCTCAATTTGCGATCAAGTAAACAATACCCAGAATTTTCAGAGAAAATTCCCACGACCACAAAAAACGACCGCATTAGTCCATAACCGCTGCCATCCACTCAAAAAAAAAAAAACTAAACACGATGGTAAATCAAAGATTCAGAATGAACATAAGATGAACACGACACGAAAACAGGAAGAAATCTTGACTTAAACCTTAAAAAACTCGAAATGGAAGAAAAAACCAAACATAAACAGAAAAAAATCAACTTTGTTTTCGACTACGATGGTGAAGAATTCAAACGATTCTTAAACTCACCAAAGAGAAGAAAGTATCAGTGACAATCTTAGATGAGATAGACGAGACCCCACCATAGGATCCTGAACACACACAGCTTCTGAAACTGTCGCTGGTATAAAACAACTGAGCTAATTCAACTTTCTACATCTTCTATTTATATATAATTTTAATATTATTTATATAATATTTTTCCTTTTTTTATGAAATTCAGCTTTGACTTCTTGTTTTTTTATTTCAGGCTCACACGAATTGCCAACCAACACTTGGTTTTTAAAATGATTAAAAGTAACGTTGATCGAGGGGGTGAGTATCTTGCCATAGCCTATGCTAAAAAATGGGCTACCGTCACGTTTCTAATGCAAAGCACTAATTGCTTTTATTATTATATTTATCTGTAAGTTAAAATTAAAAATAGTGTAATTTAAAAACCTTATTAAAATAAAATTAAAGAACATTTTATAACTATGTTAATGTTATATTATAGAATATACTCCTTCTGTATTATTTATAAACAAAAGTTTTTTAAAAATTTTTTATCGTAAATAAATAAATATCAATAAATTTAAATATTTTTAATATTTTTATTCCAAAATTATAATTATTTAAAATTATTTATAGATGACAATTTATTTAGACAAAACTGCACTAGAGATTCTTTAAATTATTTTTTTACATATTAATGCTTTAGTTTTTTTTGTTGTAATAATTTGATCTTTAAGTTATCACTATTACCATTTTTTAACAAAAAAAAAATGATAATTATAAATACAATTATTTTGAGTAGTATAAAAATACAAGAGTCACATGTTTATAAATGTTTAAAATGTAAGAAAAATATGTAAAAAACATCTTAAATGATCAAATTATTAAAAAAAAAAATTTAATAAATTATTTTATTAAAAATACAATTTGAGAGACCTCATAATTTTATCATTTATTTAAGAGTAGACTAATAATTATGTTTTATATTTTAAATTAAATATATTTAACCATAGATAGTATGTAAAAATGATTTTTTTATCATAATAAATTACATATTTTCTGCACATAGATTAATTGTACTTGTTTGTATTCATATTTAAATTGTAAAATTTTGATCTTATCCTTTTAGAAAAAAATTTGTTAATATTTAATGATAAATTATTTAGGGTCCATTAGTATAGTATTTATCTAAAACTTTTTTTTATCATATTTTTTTGAGAAAAACATGTATTATTGAAAAAAATAACAGATATAATGTTTAAGAGGGTGTTTTAATAAATTCTTTTTAATTTATTTAATTATTCAAATATAACTTAATTTTTATTTTGTAAATATTTAAGCATAAACCAAGCGGATGGGATGGAAATCATGGGATATAACGGTATTGTCAGAACATAGAAAAAATGGAAAGGTAATTTTTAATATTTTAAAAGATTTTATTAAAGATATAAAATTAATACACAATATAAGGTTAAAATAACTGTATAATAAATAAAATGGTATATTACATAAAATAAATTTACTATCGGTCTTCTAGAAAAGACAATCACATTTATCAAAATAAAAAAGAAATAAAAAAAATTATGCACCACTAAAGTAAAATAATTTTAAATTATTTAATCAATTAACAACGTATATTCTGTATTAAATTATGTTTGTATTGATGACATGACAAACTTTACATTAAGAAAAACTATGGACAATTATAATTGCATTGTGATTGTTTTTTCCCCCTTACATCTATTCTTGAATTTAATAAGAAATATTGAATATTGTTTAATTAATTAATTAATTAATTCATCTAAATTTAATAAAAAATTTAAAAAATATTTTTATTTGAGAAGTCACATACATAATATTGTATATATGCAATTAAAAATATCTTTCTAAAATAATATTTAATTTAATAAAATATTATATTATAAATACTTATTTTGCAATTCAATCTTCCAAAAGAAGTAACATTTATCAAAATAAATAAAAATATATATTTTAATTATATTCTAAATTATTAAAAACTTTTTAAAACAATACAAATTTCTAGACACAATCCACTAAGATCGTGTCAAGCATTGGCATATACGTGAATTTTTTTTTCGCACACAAAAACACTTTTGCTGTAATTAACAATTGCCTACATTTTACGTCAAGAAAAACTATGGACAATTATAACTACGTTGTGATATTTGTTTCCA